ATATCTTCTCTCTGGCCTGGGAACTTTTACGAGGCAGTGGAGATCATTTCTGGTGAGAGATGTGTGAATTTTTAACCTGGACCTGCTGCTTTCACAGATGAGCAGATAAATAAATAAGCAAATAAACAGAAAAAAAAGGGATGGATGCTGTTGCTCTTAGAAACTAAAGGCTGTCTTTTGCTACCACAGCACAGACGTTTAAAAAAATACAGAATTCACCATTTTGGAAAATGATGCTACTTTACTGTTTATTTTCAACAAGTGAATTATATCAACAGTGTGAAGTGATCATCAGGACAGGACTGGACCCCTGGAGAGCAAGGGACAAAGGCAGTTGGAGGCTTTGTCCTGGATGGTTTGATGTTCAGTATTTATCTTGCTGCAGGTAGGCACAGTTGTCACAGAGGCAAAGTCCCAAAACGTTCCAGTAACCAGGAGTGAGGAAGTTCCAGAAGGGTTCATACAACCGGTGAGCAAGTGGTGGAAGGCAAGGAATGGCTGGAGAGATCACGAGGAGGCTCAGGAGAAACCAGGGAGGTCCGAAGCTCAGGAGGAACACAGGAGTAAGAGCTACAACACGGAGAAGTCGAGATTAGTTTTCACAACACACCAGGAATAATGTAAAGGCCAGTAACACAATTACCTATTGGCAGATAATGCACCAGCGTCGGATTGGAGTCATCTACTGCCCTATGTACTCCTGCTCATTAGTGGAATGGTCCTCAGGTGTGAGATTGTTTGTGCCCTCTGAAGTAAGAAAATCTGCAGGACAAAAACTAGGAATCCTGCAACTTTATCTTTTGTAAAAGAACTACCTGTGTAGGATAGACAAAAACAGCACAAACAAAGCACACCTTGGCACACCCGTGGCCAGCATTTGATCTTTTATTGTGTCTGCTGGTGTCATATGGCAAAGACAGGTTCTGCAGACATGATTCTCAAAAGCCGTCTCTTCGCACAGAAAATGTGAGTAAACGAATGCACCACGAGCACTCGGCTAATGCGTGATTTTACGTGCAACTCCAAACAAGCGGTGCAGTCAAACTGGGTGATTCCCCGTTGTGAGAAAACATTTTCTGGCAGCGCAAAGCTCTGTGTTGTTTGGTTAACATCTCGCTGAGAGCACTGACATGCTTCATGATGTGATTTCTTCTCTGCTTTTTCCTTTTCTGCCTCTCTCACCACTGTTCTACTCTCATGAATATCTTATTAATGCTGGATTTAACTTTCTACTGAATCACCTGCATTTGTTTATCATGAATATAACAATTCTAAAATCAATTTTATGTCAGTTTTTCATGTGCCATGTAGGACCAGAATATATTAACACAAATGTCTGGAAGTTCTGACTTCTTTAACTATATGTGTTAACAAGATTTAGTCTCTAAATCTCATGCCATTTTGCACACATTGAATAGCTCATTGACAATGGAAGTGTGTCTGACCTGTGTGCAGGTTTTTGGGTGTCCCTCCCGGAAGAGGAAGTTGCCCCCTGACTGGACCTTTACCCTTTGACCTCATCTACACCGACTACCATGGCTTGCAGCAAATGAAGCAGCACATGGGTCTTTCTCTAAGAAAGCACAAGTAAACTCTCACACTGACTTCTGTTTTTTCATCATCAGTCTTTGTTTGTTTGGTTGGCGAGTTTTATTTTTTGGCCTTTACTGTTTGTGGTACAGACACTACAAAACATCAGCTGAATTTGTACTTTTCATTGTAGCTTCCTAAAACTGATCAATAATCTTATGCTGGCTTTATGATTGGTATTGTTTAGCAATGCATGAAAATCGACCACGTAAAGCACAATTAAATTAAAGATTTAGATTGTGAATAGTACAAAAGGCTTCATATTTCACCATATAATAAACTGTACCTCAAAAGAGTACTTAATACAATCCAATGCTGTATTATACATACAAAAAATAAAATGCAGTAGTCCCTCGCTACCTGGCGGTTCGTTTTTCGCAGATTTGCTCTATCGTGGTTTTTCAAAGTAAAATTAGACATGACAAACAACTAGCTGATTGATGGATGAGCCACATGACCAGCATGGCATTTTTATTTAAAATAAATTGTTTAAAAATTCTTAGCACCTGCTTCACCTGTGTGCAGCCCACAACTGAAGAAGAAGCTTCCTCCTGCACCGTGTCATATCTCCACTCTGCAGCGAAGAAGTGGGCGTGGCCAAGAGCGCTGGCAGAGAGCAGCTGGAGGAAGAGAGCTGAAATCATGACGTGCTGTGCTCTTTTAGAGCGTTTAGAGATTAAAAACATTGTTTAGAATATTGCAAGAGTGTGGGAAGGGTTTAAAATGCCTTTATATACAGCATATATATATATATATATATATATATATATATATATATGTATGTATGCGTATACTATAATAAAAAACTACTACCGTACTTGCTGCCGTACACGTCGCACTGCCGTATAAGTCGCATCATTCCGAATGTGTCTAATAAAGTAGAAAAAACATAAATATGTCGCTTCGCCGTTTGTCACATCTTATTATGCGTCACCGCTGACCACCCAAAAACAACGGTCAGTGTTGTGCCAAAAATTGAATGACTGCCAAATGGCGGCCACAGGAGCGTGCACAATAGGACTTTAACAAGAATTTAACAAGATTAACACTTAAAAACAATTATTTGTTTGCTTGAAATTATAGCAAAGGTATGTCTCAGTTGAACTTTTCCTTAATAAGTGAACTTTGACGGAATTCCTGGAGCAAACGTCAAATCAGCTGCATTTCGCTGCGCCGTCCAGGCGAAATTTTTTTTTTTTTTTCATTTTTGAAATGTAGCTGATTTGACGTTTGCTCCAGGAGTTCCGGAGCGAGACGAAGGTGGCTTGGTATGGCAAGCCAAGTGTCTCATTAATAGCCACTTTTACCTATTAATGAGACACTTGGCTTGCCATATCAGTCGAGGGCCCTCTAGTGGCTAAAAATGATAGTGTTTAATATTTTCCATGTCTGAATGAATGAAATTGTCATATCTCAGCCAAAAATTGGGTTATAAATATGGGAAAAACATAAAAACATTGCTTCGCTGTATAAGTTGCAGGCATGCTAATTTATGCAAAAAAAACCTGCCACTTTTACAGTGAAAAATACGGTACTTACTACTTGTACTACTATTCCTACTTCGTGGTTTTCCACTTATCACGGGCTTCAGGGTACGGCTCCCCCACGATAAACGAGGAACTACTGTATTGTATTGTTGTTATTGTTATTTGAACAATCTGGTATTGTATTGTATCAAAACCTGAAATGGATCAATTTTGTGATGAAAGCAACAACTCTTTAAAAAAAAAAATCCTAACAAAGACAAATTAAAATGAGCTGCATCTATTGCAGCTTGCAAATCTTGAAAATAAATGTAATAATGCAAAACAAGACACATTAAGAAACGGTAAAATTATAGAAGTGGGAAAACAGTTTTTAATATTTGTTCACCGTAGTGGTTCAGATATTTTGTAAGGCAGTTTTTTTTTTTTTAAGTTTGTTTTCATTCTGCATTTACTCTGAATTTATAAATTGTCCTGCTTTTAGAATTGCAATTGCAATTTTTTTTTAAATAAATGTATATTTTGTTCTGAAGTCTTGTAAATCTGAAAAACAAGATAAAATAAAATCCTCCAGTGAACCAGTCTGCATCACCCCCAACCCGTCCTCCTTAGCTTTAAGTGACAGAACATTAAAGTTCTAACTCTCATTAAAAATTAAACATTTTAATAAATCTTCTCAGATTAAATCACATATATTTATTTTGACTCATTCTTTTTTTTTTCTACTGATAAAATGTGTTTAAATGTCATCCATCAATCTGTTGAGTACAGAATTATTGATCTCAGGTTTTCTATTTGAATCTGATTCTAATTACTTAAACGAGCATTTATGTATGTGTAATTAGAGGAAGTTTCACTTTTTTGGAGTGTTTACTTTTCATTTCCAGAAAGACGTACATTTTCAGTCCATATCAAAGAAAAGCACAAATGGTTTTCTTTAAAACCTGTTTCCAGTATTTGTCTGTTGGACTCGGACTGTTTTGACCCATTAGTTATCTCTTCCAGCACAGCTCTAAATTAATCCCAGCACTTTTCTCATTTTGTCTCAGGTGCCACATCCGAGTGATTGACACCTTTGGCACAGAGCCTGCCTACAATCATGAGGAGTACGCCACCCGGCACGGCTACAGAACCAACTGGGGCTACTGGAACCTTCACAGCCAGCAGTACATGACCATGTTCCGTACGTGGAGTTCCATCCATCCATCCATCCATCCATTCATCCATCCATCCATCCATGGGTCACTGGGGTCACTGGTGCCCATGTCCAGCAATCACTGTGCGAGGGGCGGGGTACACCCTGGACAGGTCGCAAGTCCATCACAGGAACATAGAGACAAACGAGACAAACAACCATTCACTCTCTCACTCACACCTAGGGACAATTTAGAGTTACCAATCAGATTAAGATGCATGTTTTTGGTCTGTGGGAAGAAACCGGAGTACCCGGAGAAAACCCACACATGCATGGAAAGAACATGCAAACTCCACCCAGAAATCCCTGGGATTTGAACCATCGCCCTGCTTGCTGAAAGGGGGCAGCTCTACCAACTGCGCCACCGTGCCGCCCCTATACATGGAGTTGAATTTTAAATTTCAAGTACACATTTCCACTTTGGGGACGGCCCTGAACTGACGTTCAACATTTTGTGTGGATGATCGTGAGTCACAAAGTAGTTCTGATGACATCATGTGGACAGGTGGCAGTGCTGATGTGTGTCACTGAAAGTGCACAGCAGACTGTGGGAGTTTTAAAACACCTCAGGCCACTAGAGGCAGAGCTCACTGAGAACAGCTGTGCCTGCACAGATGCCTGCAGCTTCCTACTTCTGGCCAAGCACTACTGGCTGTACACTCAGAAAAATACAAAAACACACACACACACACAAAAAAAAGACGGAGACTCATTAGAGATTTGGGGAAACTAATGGAAGGTGAAACTTAGGTTGTTCTAACCTATTCAGCGGTCACTACTTCAAAAATAATGCTAATTCAAAGCCCACCACTGAGTCACGTCCATTTTCACCTTAAGTCTGGACTCAAAATGTTTTTTTATTTCTACTTCACACATCAATGCTGTGGGAGATTTCCATTCTGTGAGCTACAATTTACTTTTGCCACCTGAAACCTAAAAAAATCTTAAAGCAGCCGCAGCTCACGGCATTCATCAACCAAAGATTTTTTTTCCCCCTAAAGGAGCAGCTCATAAACATAATGTCTCTTATCTCTTTATAATCTGCAGTCTGCTTTTTCTTATTTTAAATTATCTGCTCAGACTCCTGGGCTATCACATCTCCTGTATTTATTGAGACATGAAATGCGTTTGGAGCCGTATATAATTTACCATTGCTGCGTTTGTCCTTGGCAGCCCACACTCCTGACAACTCCTTTATGGGCTTCGTGGCAGAGGAGCTGAACGAGACGGAGAAGCTGTTTATTCAGAGGAACAAAGTCAACAACATGGCGGTTGTGTACGGCAAAGATGCCAGCATGTGGAAGGTAAGCATGACATCAAAAATCACGGGTGTCCAAAGTGCGGCTCGAGGGCCATTTGCGGCCCTTGCAGTGATTTTTTGCGGCCCATAGCTGTAGTTTAAGAATTGTATCATTTGGGCCAGCAGGCTTAAGAGGTAGATTCAGACTTCCTGCAAACTGGCAGCCCTTTTTTATGTAATGTTTAAGTTTAACCGCAACACAGATAAAAAAAAACCCAAACATCTTCTCAAAATGAGCAATATTGAACAAAATGCAAACCTTTGGCTATAATCTTTTATTTTCACTTCATGGTACAAAGCACCAATTTTTATTTTTTTACTGATTTCTACCAGAAATGAGACTTTTGGATAAAGATTCATAAAACTTGGCTAAATGTTGTAGTTGATAAAATAATCAAGAGGGAAACTGGACATTTTTCAATTAATATAACGTGGCATCATCTACATAAACATCATTAACTTCATGCCAACTCTCCCACTGGTACATTTTCAAATTTAAATCACTTCTTGGTCTGCTGCCTTCATACATCTCCTACATGTGAGTGCAGCTACAGCGTGCACTCTCAGGACATTATTACCTGCAGTGTTCCCTCAGTAAGGACTGAATTAGGCAAAAGGGCCTTCTCCTACTCCGCTCCTGTTTCCTGGAATACCTTGCAAAAAGATCTGAAGCTCTCGACCTTGACCTCTCTAAGTGGCCTTAAAGATTTGTTAAGTTCCTGGCAAGAATCAATGCAGACATGTTCCTGTTTTTATTTTTGTACACCACCTTATAATCTAGGTGGGTTTTTTTTCTCGATACTTTTCCTTTTGACTGTGCTTTTGATGGCTATTTTGTGTGACTGTCTATTGTTGTCGTTGTTGTCCACTGTTGTCATCATTCTTTGTAAAAATCAGGTCTCTCTTGTAAATAAGTCCCCGAGGCTCAATGGGATTAACCTGTCTAAATAAAGGTTGAACTGAATGAACATACGAGTTGATCAACTTTATCAAACTTACTTTGAGTCTGTTGTGGTGACTGACAGCTGGACGATTTTTCAGAACTTCAATCAGTCTTTAGGTTCGTCCATGGTCCAAAATGCTGATCGACCCCCTTTTAAAATGACACTTACTGAAATTACAGTTTTGTTGCTGAGAACAGACTAAAACCAACTTTCCAAACACAAGAAAACAACAAACACAGACCCAACAAATCAAATAAAGCGAATCATTTTTAATAAAAAATATAAGCTTTGTGTTTATGAGGCTTTGAATGTTTTGGATCTACAAGAATTTAAAACTCTTTTTCCACCAAAAATAGTAAATTTGTCTTTTTTCCAAAATATCGCTCACGCTGTTGAGTTAAATTCACATTTTTGTGGCCAACGAGTCCTTTCATCTGGATAGTTTTGACCCACATATGAAAATGTGTGGACACCTCTGTCATAAATGCTGCAAAACGACAAATCATTGTCAAGATTTGTGATGGCTTGTGTGTAATTTGTGTTAGCCTCTCCATGCTAATCCTTTTATCATCTTGTGGTTAGGACAGTTTGAGGTACTGAATGTGATAATAAGTTAGGAAAACTTCTGAATCTGACTTTGAATAGCTGTGAAACACCCTCAACAACCCGTTTCTCCTCCAAGACTTTGGTCTCAAGTGGAATGCTAGAAGAACAATTGCGTTTGTTTAGGTAAATTTCCCCTCCAAGCCTCTGCCAAGGCGTCTCACTCCTGCTGTAACTTTGAAGTGCGCTGCTGCATCCCTCAAGGTTTCTTTCTCTTGAATCCAGTTGCAGCTTTGTTCCTACACAGCCAAAGCATCCCCCCCGGTTCTCAGAGCAACCTGAGCAGCATTGGAACGTTTGTGAATCTGAGAGTTTGCTGTGTAAAAAGTCAAGTCTCTGTAGATCCTCTCAGCACGTAGAGAACAACCCCTGCTGAGTCTCTTCTTCTGCTTTCATTTTGAAGTCCACAACAGAGATCCGTGCTCTAATAAAAAGATAAACGTCAAATATTTTATGTAGGATTGTTTCTTTTCCCTCAACATCTGCCTTCCTCATTCACTTGTGTCTTCTTCTGTTTTCAATGTGTCCCGCTCGTCATGTATTGGGTCCTGACGGATCACTGATGGAACAGCTTCAAGTAAGTACTCTGGCATTATTGAGTCTTCAAAAGCCAAAGTGTTACCTAAAAAGATTACCGTATTTTCCTGACTATAAGACGCAATATCAATGAACAGGTCTGTTTTCATACATAGGGCGCATTAAGTGAAACAAAACAGTCAAATAAGTCAAACTTTATTCAACTCGTTCATAATAACCACATAAAACTGATTCGAGGTCGGTAAACACAACCAGAATTAATGCATAAGGTGCGCCTGATTATAAGGCTCACTGTTGATTTTTGAGAATAATAAAAGTATTTTAAGTGCGCCTTATAGTCTGAAGAATACAGCATTTGGATTGTTTGATGTGTTTGGAACATGAGGCATATAAAGAAGAATTTTAAAGTTTAAACAAATACATAAAATGATTGTTACTGACTGGTCATGTGTGGGGAAAATACATAATTTACGGTATGCTTGACTAACTTCCAGTTGATTCAGTGACAGATTGTTCCAAAGAAATAAACAAAATAAAACTATGATTTTTATCACAACACTCCTCTGAGACATTAAAAATGTACAAACACTTAGATGATGCACATAAATGATTAAAACCCTACAGATATAACTTTTTTGAGTAATGTATATAAATCCCCCTTGGAAAAACAACAACAACCATATTTTAAAATGAACTTATTTAGTTTTTAATGCATTCATGTAAAGGATTGAGATCATTCATTTTAGCTGTGATTGCATTGGAATCCCACTGAAACTGGGGAATTATTAGTTGTTGCCCTGATGATGTTTGTGCAGGCTGAGCCTCAGCTCATTAGATCTGGTTCTGTTGCTTCATTTCCATCATCTACACCTTTGGGCTTTTTTCCTTTGCCCTTTCCAAGCGGCTGTGTGTGTGTGTGTGTGTGACACCACGATCAGCTCAGCTCATTTAGCTGGTGAAAGCAGGAGTGGTTGCTGCAGGAGGAGTGGGAATTCAACATAATATGAATTAAAACAAGAAGGGCCTATTAAATCATAACCAGGATGTGCAGATTAAACTTGCATGGATGGAGCTTTAATGCACTTTTTCAATGCAAAGAAGGAAATATTAGGTTTTTATTGTAGGTGTAAAAGACCTGGTAAAATCAAATTTGTTGAAAGACATTCAGATGAACTCTCTAGAGTCCACACGAATGGAGGACTTGCCAGAATTTGCACATTTTGATCGCAGTAATGATTCCATGAAACTAAAGGAAAGAAATGAAAATGTTACGACATCCAGGAGGTATATAACCAGCTAATGCAGGGATAATATCAAATTTAAAATAACTGGGAAACATTTAGCTACATTCTATATAAGGCAGCTCATGTTTTTCTGACCCTGAAGTCTGAATGTTCAAAACCATCTTCCATATATTTTTTCTTCTTCTAAATGCTGCTAACCATTTAAAACCACCATTCTGGTTTTTTTGGGGGGGGTAACGATGAAATGTCAGGTTTAGTTTGTCCACCTTAAAGTTTGAGCAAATGATCATTATTGAGCGATGATTTTGATGATTTAAGGTGGTAAATTTCTAGTTTTCACAATAATCACCAAGACTGATGAACTCAAATCAACGAATGCTTGTGTCTAACGTAGCAGATAAAAATAGTTTATGTGAATTTTCTGACAAAAGCTGCACAGGCTCTAAAAGGTTTCACTTATGGCTCTAAAAGAGCATTAATTTATTCGAGGCGTGGATGTAGGACTTTTGATGATAGACTCAGCAGATGGTGTGGGTCCTGTAATTTGCAGAGGGAAGTCTCTGTCCATCAGGCCGAAGCATACTTTAGAAACGTTGGATAGTTCAGTTTATTTTGTCTTCCTTTAAAAAAAAGACCTATTGGTTGAGGCTAAACTCATAACTAAAACTAATACAAAGGGATTAAATTTTCTGCTGAACTCTTCTTTTGCCTGCTTCTTCTGTGTGCTGAAGGGTAAAGAGAACGTTTTGGCCATTCTGAATCACTACATGGAGATCCACGGGACTGTGTACTACGAGACCCAACGCCCTCCAGAGGTCCCTGCTTTTGTCAAGAACCATGGCCTGCTGCCTCAGCAGGAACTGCAACAGCTTCTTAGAAAAGCCAAGGTGGGCCAAAAATATAAGTACAGTTATGTCGCCCGCTTCACCCGCTGCAGCTTCACCCGCTGCAGCTTCACCCGCTTTGAATGCTCTCACCCATTAAATGTATGCTATCAGTTGTTATCATCCCCATAGGTTTCCTTCAAACTGTCCCTCCTGTACCTGCTAGCAGGCTCAGTAGGTTGTTTTCACAGATTGATAAGGTTAAGGCTAGGGTTAGCGTTGTATCTGAACATAATTGTAGTACTTCTTATATATTGCTGTACTGTATAAGAATTGATCAAAATTTCGCTCATATCAAACAAACAAAAAACAACAAACCCTCATATATATCCTCTCTTGAGTTATTTTTATATAGCACATTGAATTCAATTCAATTCAATTCAAAAATACTTTATTAATCCCAAAGGGAAATTAAGTGGTGTCGTAGCTCATAATCCTGATTCCATTCAAGAGTTATAAATGCTGATAGCTGTGGGCAGGAAGGATCTCCTGCAGCAAATCTGAAAAATCTGCTCACAGATATCGAACCGTCCACCTGGATCCAACTTGATGTCAGATCAGCGGGCCTCTCGATCTTCCTGGGCAGCAGGACTGCCTGAATGCTGGGCAGAATACCTCCCTGAGCAATGGTCACTCCTCCCAGCGGTGTGCTGAGCTCCTCGTTGTGACGGACAGACAGCTGAAAGTGTTGGGGGGGATGATCCCAGTCCTCCCATTGTCACGAGCCGAGTTTTCCACCAGCTCCAGGATTAGGGTGGTCAGGTACTCAAGCACTGCTGCCAGGTTGACAGGAAATGGTCCATGGTGCCTCCTTTTCAACTAATTTGGGATTTGGGGCTGTAGTTGAGGTAATTGAGCTTTTGAGATGTTCATCAGTTGCTCCTGGTTGTTAAAAATACCTTGTTGCCATGGTTACGCATCATAACAAATGTCCAAAAGTAAAAAGGTCTCAGTAAAAATCCTTCCAGCTGCACATAATCATCTGAAAAAAAGCAATTGACATCCAGAAAATAGAGGCGTTAAAGTTTTCAAAAACAATAACTCAAAATGAATGTAACAGAGCTACTCCAACATGCAGCCACCCTGAGCGGCGCAATTCTAGAACTTCAAGGCTTCATTCAAGGCTCCAAGGATTTTTTTATTGTCATACCAGCTCACGTTTGCATGTTTATGGCACAAAATTCGGATTCAGTTCCCAGATCAAGATGAAGCTGAATTAAGTGCAGATCGAGTTCAGCAGTCTGACAGCTGCAGGAAAGAAACTGTTTCTGAGCATGATGGTTTTGCTCTGAATGCTCCTCAGCCACCTGCTTAAGGCTCTGGAACAAACTATGTGCAGGATGAGTAGAGTCCTTCATGATGCAGAGATGGGTGCAGAGAGCGCTCTCCACCACACAGCGATAGAAGCTTCTCAGGACAAAGATCCCAAGTCCAGCTCTCCGCAGCTTCCTGAGGAAGTAGAGATGCTGTTGGACCTTCTTGACTTGATTAAAGCCTTATGACTTTTAAATATGGAATTCATTTAAACTGAATTATTCATATCCAACTTAAAAGTAGTACGTAAATTGTAAATTAATGTTTTAAATAAAGCTAACGACAAAAAGCTTCCGCTTTTACATGCGCATAAAACTGCATACTATCAGAGATAAGAATGCACCTTTAAACCTACTAGTAGGTACAGTCTGAAGGCAACCTATTGGGATGATAACAACTGATTACGGCCATTTAATGGACTGATAACATTCGAAGCAGCTGGTTATGTTTTGATTTTTAAAAAATGACCTGCTTGGCTAGGATTTATGCTTCTGGAAGGTGACACTGCTTGATGCAAGTTTTGACCTGGATTTGAGCAGCTTGGTGTGGACATGACGCTCTACTGCTGTTTGGCTTTTTCCTCGTTAGCTCTTCGTTGGATTTGGCTTCCCTTATGAAGGCCCCGCCCCGTTGGAGGCAATAGCCAATGGCTGCATTTTTCTTCAACCCATGTTTAATCCACCACACAGTTCCCTCAACCATGAGTTCTTCAGAGGGAAGCCCACCTCCAGGAAGGTAAAGTTTCAGTTTTTTTTTTATTTTATTTTTTTATTTTTTATGTAAGGACACTAACTAAAATCTATAACAGATATTTAGAATCTAGAAAGACAACCTAAACTGAGCAGAACACAACATTTTCACCATGTTGTTTTCTTTACCACAAATCAAGCCAACAATGCAGAAACGGTGCAAAACAAACTGTGAACCCTCAGGAACATCTAGAGCCTCCTTTAGCCACAATAATCTGAAGCAATTAATTTTTGTACAGTCCTTTTACATCGTTCCTTTAGTCCACAGAGTAAGCATTGATTTATGGATAGCTCAGATAAGGTGCTGACTCAGCTTTTCAACTGAGTTTAGCTTTAGACTGACTGAGCTAGTGATGGGAACGTCAGTTCTTTTGAGGGTACCGAATCCCTGGAATCAGTTCATTGAATTGTTTGGTTCAAAAGATTCGCTCACCGAATCCTTCAGTTCATGCAGTTTATTCATGCAGTACACGAGTGAGTGGCACGGCACCACTTCCAGCACACTACCATGCCAACGAATCACTCCTCCGCGGCAGTTCTCTATGTACGCATGATGCAAATCGGCAAATTGTTCATTGAACGAATCCCTCCCTTGCCCTCTCTGACAGACTCTCCTCTCTGTGTAGCTTACGTTAGCGAGTGACACAACACCACAGCAGCATGTTCAATAAACATAAACATGACTCATCTTTCTTTTTGTTAATATTAAGACTACTAAGTACACAGAGCATCTGGTCTATAAGAAAGATTGAAATTTAAATTGCAGAGTTTATCATTTCATTAAAAAAAGACAGAGAGATAAAAACAATGCATAAACATTGCAGCTGCAGCAGAAAGGTAATTAAATTGTGTCCAGACAACACCTGACTCACTCTTCGATAACTTTGTGGGGGTGAGTAAACGGTGTAGGTTACACACTCAGCGAGTCTCATTCGCTCTTCTTCTGTTTCCTCTCATTACTTTATGTGTACCATAGTTTGTTAAGATAAGGGGACCTGGGCCTGAACACAGCCTAACATGCATGCTTTGAACTGAGGGAGAAAATCAGGAGTTCCTGGAGAAAACCCACGCAAACATGAGAACATGCAAACTCCACACAGAAAGACTCCAGGCCCAACCCGGGGATCGAACTCTACTACAGACAGAACACTTTGTAACCAGAGCAGGTTATGGTTCATTCAACAACTGCAAGTGGACATGATCCTCTAGTAGCAACACAAGCCCAAATCATCAACCCGTCACCACCGTGCTTGATATTTGCAATGAAGTGTTTGTGCTTAAACAGCCTGTTTGTTGCCAATTTTAACTCATTTTGGTCGATCATCTCCCCGTTTGCTCCTGTCTGTTTAAAGGAAATCATTCCAGATGTTTTGTGGGGTTTTTTTTCCCCCGTTACAACTTTGCAAACCTAATCTTTGCTGATATTTTTTGTTTTGAGTGAAAGGTTTCTTCTGGTAGTCTTTCCAACGTTGCCATGTTTTTTTCATTCTCTGAACTTTAGCACTGACTTCACAAAAAGAGGCCTGTAGAAGTTCTCCTGGAGCGACCCATTCCTCAAACAACATCTTTATTGCATGAAGACTTGTTTGAGTCATGCAGTACATAAAATTATAACAATTTTCATGCTACTGCCTCACAGCATCCAAAACAGGCAATGGTAAACATGTGGGAAAGAGACAATGTTATTTATTTACCGTATTTTCTGACATATAAGTTGCATCAGTCAAAAAAATCATCATGAAAATGAAAAAACTTATATAAGTTGCTTTGGCGTATAAGTCACATTTATTATGCACCATCGCTGACCCGTTGCATTTATTATGCATTTATTTAATGGTCAAACCAGCTTAATTTCACCTGGGTGGCCATCCATCCATCCATCCATCCATCCATCCATCCATCCATCCATCCATCGTGGCTGCAGCCACTAGCTCTCCAGCGTTCCTCCGCCTAAACCAACTTAGTGAAGCGAGCACACATGGGAGGACTCGCTGTGTAGTTCTTCGAAATTTAAAGCATCAGTCAAAAATTGTATTATGAATATGGAAGAAAAAAACATATATAAGTTGCTTCGGCGTATAAGTTGCAGGACTGACAAATTTAAGCAAAAAACTGTGACTTATACACTGGAAAATGTTTTTTCAAAAATCCACATGCATTATAAACACTTATAAACATTTCCAAATAATTGACTCTCAGATTGTAAAGTAAATAGAGTAATGCTGTGTATTGTGGCAGCCTGTTTGTTCTCACATTGAAGATGTTTTTCCACTCATCTCGTCTTTTCTTTAGCTTTGTCCTGACAGTTTACTCGGCTTCATTTCTCTTGATATTTTCACAACAATAAAAACCAGCAGCCTTCATTATTCATTGGACACCTGCATGCTGACTGATGTTGTGTACAAAGTATTTGCCTGAACAATACAACTGTGTTGACGTAAAACTAAATATCAGAATTACTATTTTTTCTACTTATCCCAACTCTAACTTATGTAAAATAATACTTTGAGATTTTACTGTGACTGAGGATCCAAACTGGAGCACGACAGGCATGATTTGAGTTTTTTGTTGTTGTTGTCGTTTCTCTTTAACTAAGCATATCTCGACTTTTGCTTGGACGTACACTTCTGGGGAGTTTTGGCAACTGTCTTGACTGATTTTCACATTTAAATTTCAAATTTTCTGTCTAACTGTGGAATGCATGGACTCCACATTTGTTAAAAATAGCCATAAAACCACCAAACTTAACAAGCAGCTTCAGCTGCTTTGCTATGATTTTAGATGCTTTTTCCTCCCCAGCATTATATCAACTAATACACACCTGAATGCTATAAAACAACAAACAACCAAAATGTCTTCATGCTCACACCTGTGGATGATCAGCTGTTTAATGCATTTCATTAGCAACACCTACCTGCTATTACCTTTTTAATTCTAATAGAATAAGTGGGAGAGTACTTTTTCACAAACTGCTGCTGCATTTTGGTTCAATTTGTTGTTAAATAACGACAAAGTTGAGCTGTTGCTTTTAAAGCCCATTTACAGGATCTGATGTTGAATTGTGATTTTGAATGAAGCCCGTTTCTACCTCCCTCAGGTGTCCTCCCAGCATCCATATGCCGAGCAGCATATAGGCAGACCTCACGTCATCACCGTCGACTTCAATAACTCTGAGGAGTTTGACGCAACCATCCGTGAGGTCATGAGGATCGACGTACGTAGATGTTTTTGTGTTTGCCGTGAAAACTTTGGTTCTGCATTAATAAAGAGCGCACGTCTGCACATTAGCATAGGTGAGAGCACAATAGGCTCTTTCACATTTCAGTCTGGTCTGACCTACTTTTCAATCTCACAGCCTTTAATAGAGCTCTTAATCTTGGCATCTCACATTACAGCAAAATGCTTAGCTGGCTCCCTCTCTCCGCTCTGCACCCCTAATTGCTTGAGATATTGAGTGGCTCAGTTGGTAAACTGTGCCCACACCTGGTTTTACACAACAGCTTTCCAGAGGCTAGCCCCAGAGGCAGAGAGCATTGTTTGAATTACATCGAATTAATCAATCCCTGTTCCCAATCTGTCACCAGAACAACACAGAGTCATTGCCAGACCCCTCGAGGCGCCAAGAAGCATGTGCGCTTCTACCTGCCAGGTGCTTTTTTTTTTTAAAGCCTTCTGTGTTTCCTGCTGATAGGGGCAAAACTACAAACAAGTTGTGGTAAATACTTAAAAAGTTGATCCAAGAGGAGGGAAATACATAAGCAGGGAACAAGTTTCACAACAGAACAAAGACAAAGCAGAGACGTCTGAAGCTTTGTGTACCTTGATGTAATTAATTCAGACAAAGTGGAACAAAAACATCATCGTTTGTAATGTTCTGCTGAGGCTTAATAACATGACTCCATCTAATAAAAATTATGGATTTTGTCTAACAGGTTTTTTTTTTTAAATCACAAAGCAAATGCTATGCATGTCTACAGTATACAGCTTGTTGTTTTGTTGTTAAAGCAAAAATTCAGGCTTTTTGAAGGTTATGGGACAAAGTTATGAACAATTAATATCTTACCTGTTGTAGATAAATATATAATCTATTTCTGACTTAATTGATGAGCTAACAGTTTGCTGAATCTGAGCCAAACCAAAGTAAATTGCTATACTGTCCTGAAACGACTCCAATCTAATGGCAGCAGCAGGTAGCTGTAGCTCTTCTGGTGCTGCCCAGAGCACGTCCGACAGGAATATCCCAATACAATAACCATGTAATCTTTTAATGATTGATTTTAATGAGTTTTAATGATCAGAAGACTGAGGTCATTGTGTTTAACCCTAGCTCTGCCATTGTCACTGATCCTGCAAACCTGGACTCCCTTCAGCCATATCTAAAACAGTCTGTTACCAATCCGGGATAGTTTTAGACTCGGACTTTAAGTTTAATAAGCAGATAAATTCTGTTCTTCAAAAAAGCTTCTTTCAGCTAAGGCAGATAAGCTCAAGTCCATCCTGTCCAGATCCGACCTTGAAAAATTAGTCCATGCATTTATTACAAACCGACTGGACTACTGTAACTCGCTTTATGCTGGAGTCAGTCAGGTCTCTCGCTCACGTCTCCAGCTCGTCCAAAATGCTGCAGCTCGGCTACTAACAGGAACTCTCAGGTTTGAGCACATTACTCCAGTTCTGTCCTCTCTTCACTGGCTTCCTGTGCGTGTCAGAGTTGATTTTAAGATTCTTCTGCTGACATTTAAGTGTGTTAATGGCCTTGCACCCTCATGCCTCTCCGACCTCCTTCATCCTTATACTCCATCTCGGGCCTTGAGATCATCAGACCAGCTGCTTTTTGGCCGTACCAAAAACCAGGCTGAAGCTCAGAGGAGTTTGGGCGTTTTCAGTCATGGGACCTAAACTCTGGAATAATCTGCCCATCAACATTCGACAGGCCACCTCAGTCTCTATTTTTAAATCTCTCCTCAAAACACATCTGTACTCATTGGCATTTAACAGTGTGATCTCATTTGGTATTTCATTGTTGATGATTGTGTATATCCATTTTGCTTTAACTCCCTGACATTTAACACAGGGTGATTTGATTTAGTATTTCATTGTTTCTCATTATATTTCATGTTTTTATGCTTTTCTTCATGTTGCTGTAATATGTTGTTATTAATATTTGATGCTGTGATCTTTTTTGGTAAGAACTTTGATAACAGTTACTGTTTTAAATGTGCTATATAAATAAATGTGACTTGACTTGACTAATCTAAAGTTGACAGTGTACAAGTTCATAAAATAGCATCTTCATGAGCTGTGATGTTATTTGAGGACAATAGTAATTAACTTTTTTCTCGGCCAAATAAACTAGCTATTAGCTCATCAATACAATCTGAATTAAACTTATTTTTTTCTAAATTGAGGTTGTTCCAAGAATTATCTGCTAGGGATAAGTTATTAACTGTTCATAACCGCACTCCATAAAAAAAACTTCTTCCAATTAGTTTATTTTTCATGTCTGTTTTATAAATATATTCAATTAGTTAGTTTTTCCCAACATAAACACTATAAACTCCTTATTTTGTTCTGTGACAAATTCATCCCAGAAGCACTTTTAAAGCTTGCTCATTAAAATGTTACATTTTGTGAGTTTTCTCCTGTGAAAGCCAAATTTTAATAGTGTACAAGACGCTGTGTTAGGCTGTTTATTGACTAGCAGGCGCATTAATTTCACACAGTCTCTGTTGCCAGGCAACTTGGTTACTTCTTTTTTGTGCAGTCCGTTTGAACAATGATCTTTGGATGAGCTGTTGAGTAAACTGTGCTACCTTTGAAAAAATCAAGCAAGCTGTTTCCTATAGTGTGCAAAGCCAAGCAAACAAACTACTGAAGGTTCAGTTTGGGTTTTTGGTTATTTTTCAAATACACAAAGCAGACAAAATATGTACAAACAACAGAGGAACTGAAGCCCAACAAGTCCATGAAAAGCCTTCATTCTATAAATTCCCAGAAACTTGATACATTTAATAGAATTAATTAAAACACATGCAAAAATATGAACAACAGTTTCAACAAAATAGTGTTAACCGCAATAATATAACAAAAAATGTCCCCAACAACCCTAGCACGTTGGTGTATCCTCTCTCATTCGTTGACTAGAGGAATAGACACCAAACCCCCTGCATATAAATGTGACAAGACAAAAGCGAACCAGTAAAAAACATGAAATAAACAGAACATGACAAAGAACAGGAAAAAAAGCTGGGTAGCGTTGAGAAAAAAGATTAGTGAGTTATAGCAGGTGTGCTGATTGCTAATGGGATAGAGTTGGGTTGAAAGAAGTTGGAAATAAGGACTACAGCGACTTATATAATTTAATGGTACAAATAACTTAATTTCAATTAAAAAAAAGGTTTGTAAGCTCAATCATCCAGGAAGATAACAACAAAAAAATTTTAAATCATGTCATCTGGACCAGTTTCTTTAAGTGAGAAATGTTTTGTCCCCCATCCAGAGGACTTCTTCAGTCTACGGCCTGCCTGATTGATTGTTTTTGTATGGGTGTGCTCTGTTTGCACGTGTTACAAGCCTAATTTTGAGATTTCAACAGGAGATTGTCTTGAAACACAGGAGTGAAGGCTACTTATGGGACAGAACTGGTGGGCAGGAAGTAGACTGAGGAAGTCCTCTGGATGGGGGACAAAACTTTTCTCACTTAAACTGGTCCAGATGACGTGATTTAACATTTTTGTTTGTTTTTTTGTTTTTTGTTCAATCAATTCAGTTTATTTATATAGTTCCAAGACACAACAGAAGTTGTCTCAGGGCACTGGACAAAAACATTCACATACGCTATAAAAGCCAATTTGTAAAAGTTATCTATCTAAGGAAGCCTGCGTTGAATCGTCAATCTGTTACAGTCTCCCATCCTGAGCAAACACAAAGGCAACATTGGAAATGAAAAAATCCCTTTAACGGGAAGAAACCTCCAGCAGAACCAGGCTCAGGATGAGCGGCCATCTGTTTTGACCGGCTGGTGTTTGAGAGGACCAGGATGGAGAAACAGACAAACACAGAATGACAGGTCCAGGTGAACTTTCTATTGGAGGAAAGTAAAAAAAAAAACATGTAAAGAATAGAAATAATTACAATCAGGTAAAGTATAACAAGTAAAGACAGCAGCAGAGTTTGGAAATGTGGTTAGTTTTTCCTCCAGCAGTCGAAGCCTATAGCAACATAACTAAGGGATAGCTTATAAAGCCCAAGCTGACCCTAACTATAGGATTTATCAAAAAGGAAAGACGTAAGCCCAGTCTTAAAAATAGACAATGTGTCAGTCTCATGAACAGAAACTGGAAGTTGGTTCCACAAGAGAGGATCCTGATAACTGCAAGATCTTCCTCCCATTCTACTTTCGAAACTCTAGCATCCACAAGTAAACCTGCAGCCTGAGAGCAAAGTGCTCTTTTAGGAAAATATAGGACAATAATATCTGTAATATAAGATGAAGCTAGGTTGTTGAGAGCTTTGTAGGTTAGAAGTAAGAATTTTAATTCAATTCTAAATTTGACAGGGAGCCAGTGGAGAGAAGCTAAAACTGGAGAGATATGATCTCTCCTACTAACTCCAGTTAAGACTCTGGCAGCAACATTTTGGATCAACTGAAGACTTTTTATAGAAGTATTTGGACACCCAGATAATAAACCATTGCAATAGTCCAGTCTAGATGTGACAAATGCATGGACCAGTTTGCATCATTTTTGGACAAGATGTTTCTAATTTTAGTGATATTACACATTCATAAATGAAGGGAAGCTGTCCTGGTATTTTTTTTTAATATAGGGGTTAAAAGACATAATCTGATAAAAAATAACACTGAAGTTTTTTACATTAAAACTATAGGCCAAATTAATACCACGAAAATTTACAATATTCAAAATGAAACCAAATGCACTTAGCAACGAATGAACGAATGAATGAATGAATAAACAAACAAATAAATATATAAACCAACAAACAAATAAATAAATAAACAGAATATGCATCCAAAGATATACAGGTCACAAGTCTGAGTTTTCCTTCAGGTATTTGCAGCGTGTTCATCATTTTATATAATTCCTATAAACGGTTGGGGCTAGTTTGTTTATGAGACTATTGTTTTGATCTTCAAAAAAACAAAATAAACAGTTAAAAGGTATTGCTACACATTTTAATTTTCTCCACCAATGTAGAAGTCCTAAAATGCCTAACACCTGCATATTCTGCACCAGCTCACGAATATGGCTGCTAGCATCTTAGCTAGCCTTAAATATTTACTTTAATCTCATTTAAGAAGGCAGGAAAAAACAAATATTATTTACATATATTTTAGGCCTAGCGATAGTCAGTTATATAAATTGTACAGTCATTCAGAAAATGCTTTTCTCCTTCTGAATTCAAATCACTCTCCATGTAGCTTATTTTTTTGTATTTTTTTTCCACTCAATTTCTCATTTAAAAAGAAAAGCTGCCCAAAAGGCAAATGGCATTGTGGAACAGCTGATGAGGTGCCAGATACATTTCATTAAACCCAGATGAAATCAAGTAATAAGAGAGTGCTAAAAGGAACAAAACAGTAAAAGGAAGTATTTATCAATTTAAAAGCCCGAGCTCCTCGGTGGCCTGATAGTAAACAGTGAATTCTCAGTTTAGCTACCATGGGAGTCATCTCAGAGAGGGATCGACACAGAGAGTCTCAGCAGGAAAGACTCTATCTGCTGTATTTCATAACTACTGATATCATCAAACCACAATGGGTTTAAAAATTGGTTACATTTCTCCCTAAAGATATAAACGTGGACTCATTTTTCCACATCAAGTTCTTCTTTCTAGCCTCTGGTGTGCTCTCCATGCGTCCGCGTGAATGAAATCCTAGAAAGAATAATGGTTATTGATCAGTGTTCTTTCAGGGAATTTAAACCCTTTTCTTTAGTAAGATGACAAGTGACAGGTTTCAACAGAAGCGCTGATAACGACGCTCACAGGACCCGGATAACACCAGAACTCTCCTTGGTGCTCGGCGACCTGCGTTTTGCTGTCAGTTCGGTCCATTGTTTGATGCATTGATGCATTCATCACTAAAAAAATAATGAAATTAATGTTCTTAGCCGTCGTCCTTGATGTATTAGGTCATTGATTTTAATGTGAAGCGTGTGGCATGATATAAGCCTTCCACAATTACGCTAATGAATATGTCAGCTTGGATTAACTATCAGATGCTCACTTCCTGTAATTACCATGGCTTGATTCTTCACACACAAACACAGGCGCACATACACTCACACATCTGCTGACTTCCTGTATTCCTTCTTTATTTTGAGCACATCTGTATTTACAGGTGGAGCCCTTCCTGCCATACGAGTACAGATGTGAGGGGATGCTTGAAAGAGTCCATGCCTACATTCAGAATCAGGTGGGTTTTTAATCACATCAACAAGAGCACAGAATCATTAGGTCAAACTATGTAACCAATTAGTTGTGTGTCTTGGTACACACTAAAACTGCTGGAGTATTGTGACAACTCAGATTTCACAGGTTGGGTTGCTTTGACCCAATATTTGGATAAAGCCACTTTTAAGGTTTTGGAGCAGGGGTGTCAAACCCACTTACAGAAGGGGGCCACAATTAAAACCTTTTTCGAACTAAGGGCCAGTTTCAGAATCTACATTAACTCAAGTGTGATACTCGACACCTTTTCTTGGTTGTAGGTTCCTCAACTAGACTTTGATTGGTCTCATTTGATGTTCTCTGTTGCACTTTTGACATCATAATCAAAGATTACTGAAAACATTCAAATATAAAAGTATTTTATGTTTAACATTATCATCTTGGGGGGCCAGATAAGATGTCCACGAGGGCCACATTTGGCCCCCGGGCTTTGAGTTTGACACATGTGTTTTGGAGGAACACGTTGCAGGACACAGTCTTTTCTTGCAGTCATAAAGGTAAAAAGTGGATACAATAAAAACGAGAGAAAGTGCATTTCCTGCGAAAATGCAGTGCAAATGCTTATTGCAGAAGAACTTGCTGAAAAACTGCTGAAATTAGCAAAAAAATAAAAAAAAGCTACTTCCACATAGCTGAAAATATAGAACAAACGTAATTCAGCAGGAGAAAGTAGAAAGAACACAAAAGTTGAAATTACTGCAAAAAATGCCAAATGAGCTGAAAAAGCTAAAATTAGCATAAGGCAGCTAAATAGTAGCTGAAATAACTGAAACTTGCAGAAATAAGCTGAAATGAGCATAACAAGTTGACTTTAGCTGAAATAGTTTAATTGGGATGAAAGTAGTAGAAATCACCATGAAAATCTTGAATTTATTTGAGAACACCTGAAATTGGCTAAAATATGCTAAAAGACTAGCTGAAAAGGTAGAATAAGCTTAAATTAGCAGAAGAAATCAGAAAGAACATGCTTATCCAATTTGGCTGAAAGAAGCAGTAATGAGCACAAACAAGTGGAAATTACCTGGAAAAAAAGCTGAAATTAGTACAATAACAGCTGAAAAGTAACTAAAAAGGCAGAAAGAAAATGAAGTAACAGAAGGAAGTGGAGAGAGCACATTTTTTTGCTGACGTATGCTGAAAAAAGTTTAAATGAGTGCAACAAAAGTGGAATTAGCTGAAAAAGCTAAAATTAGCATAAAACAGCTACATAGTAGGTGAAATAGCAGGAAAAGCTTAAACTTGCAGAAATAAGCTGAAAGGAGCATAAGAAGCTGAAATTAGCAGAAAGAAGTTGGAAGAATCACAAAAAGGTTGTACTGTAGTTAGAAAGGATCTGAAAGGAGCACAAAACAGCTAAATAATCAGTTGAAATTAGCTGAAAGTAGCTGTAAACGTATTTAAATTCGCACAAGCGGCTGAAATAAGCTGAACTACAAAATGTGCAAGGAGCAGTAAAAGGTTGTAAACAGATCTAAAGATTTGAAGGGTGTAAAATGAGCTCAGTTCATTTTCTAAGAGGAAAAAAAAAGTGGCAGAAAAGGCAAAATGTTTCAAAAAGCTAAAGTTGCACGAATACCAAAAGTCATAACACCCTTCTCCTGAACGAGCTGAATGTTTTGATATATGATTTGTTGAAATAGCACAAAAATTGTGGGACGAGAAAGAAGCCGAAAAAAGTACGGAAGAAAAATAGATCACAATAGTGTGAATCTTCATAAACATTCACACTATTGCATTTTTTAAGAATTTTTTTGGATGCTTTGTCGTGACATCCATTTGCTGAATGTAAGCTTTATTCTCCAGCACAGTATCACATTTTCAGTTTTCTTCAAGAGTTGCTGTCGAGGCAGAAGTGCTGCTCAAACATAAACCTTTTGCCCAAGTTTTTCAAACATCCGGACATGAACCAACTAGTAATCAGAACAAAGTATAAACGTGTTCCAGTTGCATTCCTTCCACCAGAGCTTTGCACTGTAACAATACAAGAGTGGCACTTCCACAAGAAACACATTTGCATTAGTTTTATTTACAGCCGCTGTTGTCCTTTGTGGTTTCTGTCAAGTTGTGATGCTGTTTGGCAGGCAGAGTTTAAGAAAATGCTAGCTTGTGTTTTTTGTCTCCTCACGCTGTCAGAAATAACACAAACGCGTTCACCGTGCCGTGACTGACTGAAACCACAACCCCTCCCGATGTCTGTACGACAGCATACTCTCAATCAAACTACTGTCGTTTCTTCCTTACACTTTTGTCTTAACTTTGACTTTTATTTTTCTCTGCAATTTCATCCATATAAATCCCCACCGCACACATGTCTTTACCTAATTTTTCTATTTCTAATTGAATCTGTCATCCTGGTCATCTCACTCTGAGCTCCACTTCCTCTGTACTATATACTACACTTTACTACTGTTGTACTACAGTAAAAGTGTCCCGACAGCACAGCCTTTTTCTGTAAAGCGATACCAGGACAAATCACAGTTTTATCATTATTGATTTGATTGTTTTACCTTTATTTAAACAGGCACATTGAGTCATGAGGACTCATTTTCAAGCGAGCCCTATCTGTTGATTGCTGACTCATTTGTTTTGAGTGAATTTAACTAAAAGAACTGTCTGTTACCTGACAGGTGATGCAAATGAATTTTCTGAAGTGGTGAGGATCATCTGCTGCACTTTAGTGAAAAAAACTGATTTCTTGACAGATTCAAACAAATAGTTCAGTTCTTTTGAAGAGGGGTTTTGTGGGAAGATTATGAACAAATATGATATTGTTGTCGATAGCTCTTTGAATGATCTCAGTTTGGGGAATAGTTCAGACTTTCAGACAGTGTTTTCAGACTAACTGAAAAACTAACAGCTAGTTTAAACAAGAACAAGACAAAAAAAAGATTGCTGCCACAGATCCAAAGCTAAAAAGATTTATAGCAGTTTATGTAAACGATGTTTAAAACCTATAAATCATCATTTCTTTGAATTATCTAGTTATTACAACAGAAATGTTTTGATATTTCTGTCAAAAGTGTCCCACTGGAAGTGCTACAGCTAGTACTATTTACACTTGCAAAGAACTATGAAAAACTTATGTTAATAACCATGCACTGTGGATTTCACAACGATGTAGAGCTGATAAAATAGTGTATGCATAAAATACTATGAAATATTTGAGATTGGAGCTGTTTACGATGGCAGTAATTGATTTTGCTCTTACCCCACTTGGACTAACTGGTTCCTCATCAATAAAGTCAAAAACAAACTTGTTTTTTTAAAACTGAGGTTGTTCAAAAAGTTGTCTACAACAGGTAAGATGTTTACTGTTCGTAGCCTTCTATAGCAAACCCCACTTTAAAAAAAAACGGAACTTTTACTTTATAAGTCCATTTCAGTCTTTCTCTACAGGTGAATAATGTGATTTAAAATATTTTAGATACTGAGTGGGTAGGGAATTAATTTACCTCAAATTTACAAGATAGTAGTAATAACAAATTTAAAAACAATAAAGATTATTTTTCCAAAATTTCAGAATAAGCAGAAGATATTGGCTGGATGGATAAAGACTATTAGCAGACTGTGTGTTGAGTGTCTCAAGCTGTATTTTTATTTGTTAATTATTAGGTGTTCTTTGACTTCTTCTGACAATTTGGTGAAAAACAATGACATAAAATGATTTGGGTATTTTAGTTGGAAACGGACATGTGTATCAAAATGACCAGGAAAGTTATTTTGTAAAATAATTCATCAAGTTTGTCAATGGCATTGTCAAAACTGACATATTCAGTAAAATTAATACTTTGATGGTAATAGTAGTAGCCTCCACAGGTCATAGTTTTAGCTATAATTACACAATGCATAAACATTTTCTCCTTCAAAAACACAATTAACTTTAAAAGAAAATTCAAGGGAGAATTCAAAGACTTACACATTTGAAGCACCACATTATAATTCTACATGTAAAAGGACGTGTTTAAGTGGCACTTTTTTTTTTTTTTAATCCTGCACCTTTTTCATATGAGAGGAGAGAGAGAGAGAAAGATCAAGGATGTCGTCTGTGTTTAGGAGAGGAAGTGCGGCTCAGATCGGGGAGATTGGAAGCTCAGTTATTGCCTGTGGGCACAAGGAGCTTGTTTAATAAACGGGTCTAGAGGCCAGAGGGACATGTCAGAAAAATGTTATTACCTGAGTTTTATTAATAGGCTCAGCTAGAGGGGCAGTGGGGGTGCGGGTGATCTAATCTGGCTGCACAGCGGAGCTGAATTCTGTCTCAACATCTTATTTGTCATTCGGAGACATTTCTGCATACATTTGTTTTCCTGGAAGGATGTCTCATTTATGATTAGCGCCTTTGTTTTCATTAAAGTGGAAACACTGCCTCATCTGTACGTAGTGTTGCAGTTACAAGCAATTCATTTGAAGAATCTTTTAAATGAGAAACTGTTTAATATTCACTTTAGTATAGTGTAGTAGTTCATCAGTTTAAAAGAACATTAAAGCTAAACATTAAAATGTTTTTCTTCTTGACTATTTCACCTTTAAATCTGCAGGATTTTTGTTCCCCAGAGGTCCCGTTCCCTCCGGTAAACACATCTTGGGCTCTGCTCAGAGGTCCGTTCACCCCCCTGACTGACTCTAGAGTCCTCAGTTGGGCCTCCAATGCCAGCTCCTTTTTGTCGTGGCCTCCTCTATCTGCTCTGCGGCTGCTATCATCACTGCAAGGCCAATCGTGCGTGGAGGCATGCCAGGCCGAAGGATTCATCTGCGAACCTGCCTTGTATCGTTTCATCAACATTAAAGAAGCCTTCAGCGCGTGAGATGCTTTTATTTGTCATTTCCACTGGCTTGTGGATCGCAAGTAATATTACTTCTCTTTTGCACAACTTCATCTTAACTCTGTTTGACTGGGAAAAGAAATGTGATGTATACATGTCCAATGCATGATTTGCCTCTTTAGTTTGTGACTCATTTTTAAACATTTGTGTCATTGAGCTCATCCTGTAAACGATATATGTGTCTCCGTCCAAACAGTTTCATGCCTCATTTGCACTTCTAGTTTCAAAATGACTCACTGGTTTAACATATATCAGAACCTGGCTATGAATTTCCATCCATGTGAGGGGTTTTAAATGCAACATGAATAACAAATCGGTTTGTCAAATCATCATGGATACCCTGAGGCATTTGACCTTACATCAGTGTCAAGTCATTGAAAGTTGTTTTCTTAGTTCTTACACTGGTAGCTGTGTGTTCATCTCCTCCCTCTCTGCACCCAGGCTGGACTTTCAGTGTGACGGAGTGGAGTCGGAGATGAACCACCTCCTCCCTGCCTTCTCTGCAGAGCACGCTGAATGCGGTCTGCAGCACGACCCGCTGCTGTTCAGCTGTGCCGGTTCCAGTCCCAAATACCAGCGCCTTTGCCCCTGCAGGGATTATCGCAAAGGACAGGTGGCGCTGTGCAAAGACTGCCTATGACCAAAGGTGCACCTTGAAGAAGGAGGCTCGCTTACGGCGCTTGTAAAGATCCAAACTGTTCAAGTTTTGGCAATGAATCGTTGAGTTGAAAAAGCTGCGATGCGTGAAAAAGTGATTGCGCTGACTTTTAGCACTGACCTAGGAAAGGCTGCCAAAAAGGGAACATTTTAATAACCTCTCAGGGAACTGCATGGTTGTGCTTTGAATGTGAATGGGTTTGAAACCTTTGTTTTTCAAAGTTCACTTATTGCCGTAGGACCACAGTCATTTCAAAATCAAGGGGAAATGTGTAATTTCATGCGTGAGTCGAGACAAAAATTAACAGCAATCATTAGGAGAGTTTGAGTTTAAAATCGGTTGGAAACGCTTGAATTTTAGAGTGCTCAGCTCAGTATCATGGACAGATATTTGTACAAATGCACCCAAAGCCATTTACACCACTTTAAGATGTACTATTTTACATGTCCTGTGAAAAATATATTTGTACATAAGTGTTGTTTAATAAAACACAATGGAAAATGAAGTTTCATCACAAAATATTTCTTAATGCCTGCTTTGCATGGCAGTGAGTGATATTATGTCCCTGTGTGTGCATGTGTTCATTTGCCTGTCTGTTAGCAAAACAGCTCATGATCAGATTTTGATGGAACTAGGAATGCAACCGTTGGATGTACCTCTACAACTGAGTAACTTGTCGAGTCAATTCAAGAAGGCCGCTGAAGTCAACTAACTTTAGAAAACACAAAACTGGCTAACATCCAGGCAATTTTCCACACCCATCTACAGTACTGTATATGTTGATGTGGTAGTAGCTGAGAGTCCTCTGTAACACATACTGCAGCCATGGCTGCTGAAATGCATTTTACATTTTTCTAACTGAATAATTTTTACACAGTAAAGTGTAGCTATATATTATTATGCTTTTATGTTGAATTACTGTCAAAGTCAACTTTATTGTCAAAACTACAATATGTACAGGACATGCACGGGATTGAAATTTCATTACTCTCAGACCTCTGGTGCAACAATAACCATTAAACATTAAACATTCAATAAACATTAGCGTAAAATGAAATAATAAATGTATATTATCCCAAATTGTAAGTATTGTAAGTGCTGTGTAAACACAGCGGGTGTAGATTCAGTTTAAGTATCCGCCTGAACATTGTCCTATTTGTGATGTCTTAATGAAAACCTAGCTCTCTAAATAACACAACCTAAAATTCATGGAAGTGACCAGCATTAGTGAATAAGTGACTAATGTGCTGTAGAGCTGGTGAGAAATAACTGCTTCCTCTGCTTGGCAGGTAGCATTATTGTGTTGGTAAATAACTCATTGCTGAGGAGTTACTGTTATATTAGTTATTTTATTTCGAGGAGGATAATTTTGCCATGCACATATTTTCAGCGTTGCTGTTAATAGTCATCCTGTGCATGTTGTCTATGAAAGAATTCTCTTCTAATATAATTTCTAAGCAAGAAAACAGAAACAAAATCTAGTTTTGTACAAAAATGCACTTTGCAGTTTATCCTCAGGTGAAATTCCACAAGGAGAACAATGATTTAAGGTTTTTGTTATCGTTTTCTACTCTTTACAGTCACAGAAAATAATTTGATGCATGAATATACTAACACATAAGGGGGCGTTATACTGAAGAGAATGTGTATAATACATATATTTTGGTAAATAATTTCTTCGATTGTGACTGGTACTGCATTACATCAGCCTTTCCTGACCTTTAAACACAATAGATGCAAAAAAGTGCTCTATCATTTACATTAGAATTGCAAGAAGATTTTTCTTTGTGGTCAGAATGAACAAGTTGAATGATTACATAGAGCAAAACTGCTACAGTGGGTGTATAAATTATTGTTATGGAATAGGATAGGCTGGCCATGACAAAGTGATGAATAGTATGAAAACTGTATAGGAAATTACATTAGGGTCTGAATAATTTAAATTATGTCAGTAGCAATCTGACACCTGATTCAGGAGTGATATAGCTCAGTGGTATTGTGACTTCAGAAAACACAGAATGCCATAACCAAGTGGCTAGATTAGATTTGTGCTGGGTTTGGGCTGGCACAGTCAAAATGGTATTGACTACACTCATTGAGAAATTGCATAATAATGCAGTACTACACTTATCACAAATGTAGCCAACAACATCAAATGACAGCAACCATAAGAAAAAGAAGAAGCTTTCAAATCCCAAATTTTGGTAAAGTCAAGACCTCTGTGGTTCCAGTGGTTATCAGGACACTTGGAGTTGTGACCCTCAAACTAGTCAAGTGGCTCTAGCAGATCAATCTCAGATTGTATAGCAGGACTAAGTACACAGCCCTGTGGAATCCCTATGCTCAGAACTAAGGTTGTAGATGTTTCATTTGAATGCCTGTTCCTTTAAATTTTACAAATGGTCCTGCCGGGTGGTCAGGCCTAGACTCAACTTTTAAGTTAGGTGACTAATATGAATGCAATTCCAAAAGTAAACAAACATCACCCTCACAAAGGTGTTGGAGATGTCCAGGTGAATCAAATGAGTTGTAACTGGATTGTCTATTGTCCTATTTTATTGGTAATCCAGCTGGAATTGGTCCAGTTATTGGTTATTAGCCAAAATCAACCACACAAAGCACTTCAATATGATGAGAGCGAGTGAAACAGGTTTGTTATCATCCAGACTTGTACAGCAAAGTGCTTTGATACAGGGACAAAAGTACAGTAGATGTTTTTCTGGCATGTACGAGTGACCGACTAGGCCAATAACATAAAAAAACTACCTGTGGTCACTGCAATTAAATACCATAGCTCCCTAAATTGATTCATCATTCATAATTCAAGTTTTATTTATGCAAGCCACTTGAAAGTGTTTTAAATTTGATATTCCAAAGTCACTTTTCAAACACAAAATACCATATGAATGGCTGCAATGTCACTAATATCTCATAAGCTGCTGCTTCACAGATGCCAAAACCATTCACCAACATGGTGAATAGAACTGAGATGGATTATGCTAGCTTGCTTTTTTTTTTTATTGTTCGTTTGATTGATGGTGGAAAAGATTTTGAAAGTTCCTGTTTATGTATCCAGTTTATAATATTGAAATCTTGTGTGTGTGGAGGTAAGGATTGTGTGTAAAGCACTTTGAATATCTTGATTAGATAGAAAGACGCATATATAAGTACAGTCCTTTTACCATAATAACATTAGGTACTTCTTCATTATTTTAACAATGAGGCCAGTCTTAAAAATCCTTTAAAACAAAAGAACGTTTCATTTATGGTAACCCTGTCAATGTCACTGTTATATCTACACTTCAAAACTTCCTTCAGGCTGTGAATAAGTCTGCAGAGAAAACCACCCTCTCACAGTAAATGGATGTGTTTCACATTTGACATTTTTTTTGTAATTCTTCAGCAATGCATGTCCTGATTCAAAGTTTAGAACATAATGGCAAGTCAAGAGGCTTCTCTACAGCCATTCTGAGCTACTGAGTCATCCTCCTCTCCAACTTAAACCACCAGCTGCCAGCTGCAGCTACATAACTTCCAGACTGCAGCCTGCTTACAACACTAAATGTCCATTTTTACTTAATTAATAGGTTTGTTTTTAGCTCATCAGATCCACTCTGTCTCTATTTGATGGAATAATAATAAAAAGCAGGAATAAATTCTAGACAGAGTAGCAGGGCTTGATGTCTTAGTACTGGTTTTGGGCTAATGTAAGATTATCTCTTATTGCACAGATTTTGTCCATCAAATAAGGTAGATATAGACTCAATATCTACCTTATTTGATGGGCAAAATCTGTCATCTATATTATAGAGAGTAATGAATGTGGGATGAGAGAGATGTCACCAGTGCTGTGCAGATAGTCCAACCCTGGTGACACTGTTATCTGACTGGACTGCCAAGCTGAAAATAAAAGTGACTGAGGAGGTCAAACAGGACTTGAACTTAGACGAGGCGATAAGCAGACAAAAATTTAACCATGAGACAAGAGATATAAAATAGACAGAAAATGTGAACAAAAATAGTTAAAAACTGGTCAGAAATGCTTAAGTCGGAAAGAACAAAGATAATAAAAAGTCAGGTTGTGTACGCTTCTATGAGTAACTTTAAAGTGATCAGAAACAGTACCCCAAGGATATACATATGGAAAAAAGAGGAATAAAAAAACACATTTTCAGTTTTTAGGGCTTTGATATGAAAGTTTTCAGATCGATCAGTTGAATTTCACAGTATCCAGCCAACTTGTGTTGTGTTCTCATGATTCATTTAGTGAACTGTGGACTGATGCATGAGGTCAGAGAGATGATCCATTCTTACTGTTGCTGTGTACTTTATTGATAATCCTGTCCTCAGAGAAAAACAACCAGTAGACTACTGTGCTGATTTTAAAAAACATGGTTAAAATAGTTTATCATTCTTGAATTTAAAGGTTCAATCTATTCAAGACAGCAAAAAGCAACTATAATGTGGTTTACAAAGGTTAGGAAGGAACGACAGACAAAAACCTTCCTTTGACATTTTTTGTCAGCTGATAAAAATACCCACCAGATGTCGTACCCACCACTGTACACTGTATTCACTGGTTAACTGGTCATCATTAACTTCACGCAGACTCTCTCACTGGTACATTTTCATCTTTAAATCACTTCTTGGTCTGCTGCCTTCATACATCTCCTCCTTCATGTCTCTGCGTGAGTGCAGCTACAGCGTGCACTCTCAGGACATTATTACCTGCAGTGCTCCCCTCAGTGCGAACTGAACTAGGCAAAAGGGCCTTCTCCTACTCTGCTCCTGTTCCTTGGAATATCTTACAAAAAGACCTGAAGCTCTCGACCTTGACCTCTCTAAGTGGCTTCAAGAATCTGTTGGACTCCTGGCAGGGACCAATGCAGACATGTTCCTGTTTTTAGTTTTCTACATTCACCTTAGAATCTAGCTGTTTTTTATTACTTTTCTTTTCTTTTTACTTTTCCTTTTTTTATTTA